GAGTCATGCATGGACTTGCCTGGCCATGTGGATCCGGCATCATGTCATCTTTAATGTGGAATTGCTTGGAGAGGCAGGGACCTTGCACCATGACTGTATATTGTTTCAGCGAGAACTGCGGGAACAGCAGCAGCTTCTGCTCCAGCAGCAACAGCAGTCACAACTTCATCTGCAGTCTCAAGCAAGTGAATCCTCTGTCAGTGGAAACAGTGGCCGTAGCAGCAATTCCTTACAACTCAAATGGGCTGACCGGAAGCCAGTGCCAGTTAACAAAGTGAAGTCTCTGGCTGAAATTCAGGCAGAAGAACAAGAACAGTTAGCCAAGGTATGAAAGAAAGTTTTCTCTTCTATATTGTGCGTAAATATTCATTTACTACTTTTCAGAGTATAATTCAGCACATTAAATTGAAGTGATTACAGCTGAATGTGATGTGATAAAACAGATCAGGTATTTGCAGCTACAGACGCCCCCACCATACAATTTCTTGATAAACAGTCAGATCAAAATTTCAGCCAGTGCATAATTTTCATAACACAACATTGAATCAGGCCACTAGACAAAGTTCCAAGGGACCAAAGTACTAGATGAAGCATTACGCTGCAGAGACTGACATGATAAAGAGGCAATAGGAATACAGTTACATCTGAATAATATAAACAAAGAGGAAGGGTTCAAATTTGGCAAAGCATGGAATTCCAGCACCAGATTATTGAGGCACTTCAGCACGCCTAGATCGGGAAAATCCAAAGAACATAAACACATGCTGTAAAGAATTTGAAATGATTAACAACAGGAATACCAGGTTAAGCAATGTGGTGATGGATTAGAGTTGGATGGGTGACTGCACAGTTTGTCTTTACCATCCTCTTACATAGTACACCAATAGGAAGAGGCATCAGTTTAACAGTACGTGGTCATTCATCACATGAACCCAGATGATAAGAGACAAAAGAGATTGTGCATTGAAAATACTCAATGTAATGAGCATTTTTATGTTGTATCAATGTTGCAGTGAACATACTTTTTATTTATTGTCTAAAAGTGAGGGCATGTAAGATGTGTGAGTGAATGTAGTATCATCATCATCATCAGTAATCTGTCAGACAACAGGTCCACAGTCTCTTCCAAAACAGTTTCTCCACTTAATGCGATCTTCTGTTTTTGGAACGAGACTATCCAGGAAAAGTGATAATGTGGTAGTTTTTCCATTTGCTTTCCACATCGCAGTACAACAGCCGTTCAAACCACTCTGGTCACGCCTGTTGCTATACGAACTTGAACCATCTCGAGCATCATCTGTGCTTCAAGTCGCTGCTGACGACGCTGCTTCCGACATCAGTTTTCGGTGCCTCTCTTCGTCTGATGCCTACCCTTTGATCTGTCCAGCAAGGGAGGCCCTGCCCGTAGCTACGATACCGCTGGTATAGCTCTCAGGGCCCTTGGCATACTCAAACCCCCTCACCACGATAAGGTGGAGACACCAAGGAGGGGGGAATGTAGTATATGTACCTTTTAATACTTCTTTCCTGCACTCCTTTCTTTCTTTTCTGTTTCCTTTGTGTCATTTATTGGGCTGTTTCACATGTAAGTTGCCAGTTTTAAGTGAAGAATATCATTGTTCTGTTTCTCAAAAAAAATGACACACCAATAACTCTGAAATGGTATGGCACCATGTTTCTGTTATGAAAGTTCAGGTAAATACATTTATGGCAGCTGGTGTTGGTTACAGCAACAAGAAAAAGAACGTGCTGAACGTGCACAACAACAAAAGGAGATCGCTTTGCCTCCTTCAGCTGGCATCTGGGGTGCTGCTTCTCAGTCACTCTCCTGGGCTTCTTCATGTCCCAACACAACCACTGTGTGGGGCAGTACGACTCCAGCAACAACAGGTAGTTTATCCATGGTATTAGAGTATTCAGATGATTTTCATATTTACAGGTTGCTGGAGGAAAATTAAATATCTAATCATGTGAGTTTATTCAACCAAGCTGTAATAATATTAGAAATACATCATTAAAATATATGAATCTATAACCTTGGGGTATTGCCTTCATCTTCTGTGCAAGATGCATGTGGTACAGGGCACTGGATCCGGTACTGGATGCCATATTCACTGAAATCTGTATTAGACAGTGCAGTACAAATTGTTGACTTCGTTAAGGCACAATTCCAGAATGTAAACTGCCTTACAGTGACATGGGTAGCAAGTATGCAACTTTGATTTTTCATGCCACAGTTCATTGGTGTTGTTGGTTGTCTCATGTTAAGGTTCTGGTAAGGATATTTGAACTGAGTGAAGAAATTGAAATCTTTTTGTTTAAAAAATAAACATTATTAGCGAGCTGTTTCTCATGTGTTTCTTGGTTACAGAAGTTGGCATACCTTGCAGATATTTTCCATAAGTTGAATGATTTCAGCCTATCAGTGCAGTGCCACAGGATAACTGTGCTCTCAACTAAGGACAGAGTAACTTAAGTGAAATTAAAACCTAAACCTTGATACCAGCATGCACAGTGAAATAAATTTGATTGTTTTGATACCATGAATGAATATCTTGAAGAACTGGGTGAAGCTGTATCAGATAGTTTAAAACACAACATAACTGAGCATCTCACACAATTTCAGAGGTCAACTGAAGAATATTTTCCACCAGTTCGCTTCACTGTGCCTGTCTACTTGCCCATCCATGTATGACACCTTCAAACCTGCTGAACACATTTCGATGAAATTTGACATTGGAAAATGGTACTAAAATTTGTCAGTATATTGCAATTTTGGTTAACATTTGTTAACAGTAATGCACACTACACGAAGACTTGGGTACATTTCTGTATGAATCTCCAGAGTAACTCACTAAATACTTATCAATGCAAAAATGTTCAAAAAGAAGTAGTACAATGCTTTTTTGATAAGTCTTTCAGTTTTTAAGGTTATTGACAAAAGGACTGAATCTGCCATAAGTATTAAACTGTATTTACATTTCCTGACTTGTACTATCAGAAGGACGTGCCATGATTACCTAATATAGTTAGGAATTACTTCCATATTTTGTTTAACTATATTAAATATAACACCTAATGTGGTGAAAGTAATTTAATTTTCTGATTGTTTCAAAAGGTGTTGTAGGTTTCTGGGATGAAGTAGCACCTAGTGCACCTAAGCCATCAGGGAAGTCCGTTGGTGGAAAAGCCAAAGTTGGTGCAGCCACTTCTACTGTTGGGAACAGTTCTTCAGGAAAAGCCAGTGGGAGTAAAACCCGCAGCAAAAAGGAGGAGGCCTTGGTTTGGAAATTGTTTGAACAAAATGTTCCCCGTGGTGATGAGTTTACACAGTGGTGCAGCAAGGCACTGAGTGGACTACAGTCTTCTGTAGACAGTGAGTATTCTCTGGTGCCATGTTTAGTGTAAAGAGACTGGGTTCACATACACTGACAGACGTCAGAAGACATCAGTGATTTATTCAGTGAAACAAAATGTTTCTGAAAGAAGTTTGACTAATGTGTGTGTGTTTATATTGTCGCGTATCGCGGGGTTATATCGCGACAAATAACTTCTCGTTGNTTAATGTGTGTGTGTTTATATGTTTGTCAAGTCTTGGAAAATATTGTAAATATTGCTGGAAGCTGATACCCTTTTACCCAGTTTGATGTCACACACCCTAATAGGATATAGTTTGTATATGTGAATCTTGTATCTCCATTAGTCATCACCATCTGGTGTTTCCTCCACATTGCTGCATCTTATCCCAAAACTTCCATTCTTCTCTTCCCTCCTAGAAATACTCTTGAGTCTGTGTCTCATTTTTTCCCCCACTCACTTTTGTGTATATCTCTCTCATCTTAGTTTTCATCTCCCCAGCTGTCATTTATTTGCCATAATCATGTGTGATGCCCTCAGAGGAAATTCTGTTTTCCATGTGTATTGCATCAAAACCACAGTATCCTTAATTTAACCAGCTTTTCTTGTAGTACAATATTTCTGTCTTCTGATCTTGCCTCATTTTATCACATCTTGTTCACTTCATAATAATCTGGAGAGATAAGGGTTAAAGTACATAAACATTGCTGTTCTAGTACCCACTTTTGTGGGCTTTCTTCGTGACATTGAGTCCCCATATGAGGTGAAGGACTATGTGCGGCTGTATCTTGGAGAAGGGAAAGAGGTACAAGAATTTGCAAGGCAGTTTTTGGAGAGGCGATCCAAATGGCGAAGTGCACAACGAGCTGTACCACTTGAAGATGATATGTGTGTTCCTGCACCAGCTGTGAATCCTCTCACAACAGACTTCCAGGAGGTCAAGGTATGAGGTGTTTCAAAGTTAGATGAGCCTAAATGGGAATCTTTAAGGCACTGAAATTTTTTTTATCATTCTTACACTCTCCTTTTTCACACACCTCATCTTCTTCATGCAATGACTGGATTACTTTATGACATGACTAACTAAGAGTATGGCTGCAAGTGTTGTCAGCTAAGAAGGGAACACACATCAAAAGACGCAGTTTACACAGAAAATAAGAAAAACGACCCCGTAGTGAATGAACCACATGCAAGTTTTAATTAAGACAAATAAGATGAATTATCTTAACAAGTTGTAGCGAGTGTAAATTTATCATAGTTGACAAGTACGGACTTTTTAAATACTTTTTAAATGGTGTTGTGAAAACATATGAGGGCAAGCAATGCAATAGATTGACGTAATTGGGACACCTGATGATGGCACTATGTTGCCGAAACATGTTGTGAAGTGACAGGTGAAATTGAGTGCACTACAAGACGGCCACTGTATACATATCATGGATTACTTTATGACATGACTAACTAAGAGTATGGCTGCGATGTCAGTATTCAGAGACCTGTATCAGAATTATGTAAATGAGATTGATAAGAAAGTGAATGAGGAAGGAACAGTTATAATGGTAATAAATAATTGTTAGATGAAACATTGTTTGAAGAATAAATTTATTAAATACTGCAGTCATGTATGTTGTAGCACTGTGTGCACACTGTGTAGTACCTGATTCCTAAGCACCAGCAACCTAGCAGATATTTGTATTGATATGTTGAATAAGCTATAGTCTCTGTAATAGGGTCATGGATTGAAGTTGGTAGACCTGGTCTATTTATATGCAGTTTTGAGGTACGAGTACACCACAGCTGCAGAAATCACTGAATAGCATCTAATTTGTTTAAATTTGTTTGTCCATTTGTGAATGTAATATGGCCCTTTTTACATGAAAATTGAATTAAAATAGAACTTAATGTTCAGTAAATATGGTATCATGTCTGTTTATGCTGATTCGTCATTTCTGTAGCATGTATAATTTGTATGCCTTTCTTCCACAGGGCAGAGGGAAGAAAGCAAAGAAGAGCAAGATGTTTCGTGTTGATAATCGCATCCTTGGCTTCAGTGTGACAGCAGCTCAGGATCGGATCAATGTGGGTGATCGTGACTATGGAGACGGGCTGTGAAACATCGTATCAGCATACCAGCTGTAATGTAATGAAATTGGTGCCAGTGCAGGCCACTTACATGGAAGCCACCAGTGCAGCCTACCACTCCATCAACTAATATATAAAGGGGCGAGCTGTAATTCACACAGCACTAGACTCATTATTATATGATTCTGTGAGTACAGTTTTTGGGATAGAAAGGATTCAGATCGTAATGTTTGTGCATGAACTTACGTTCTTACATCCTGATTGCCAAGAAACAACACTTCAGAGAGAACATTCTGCTTTGATGAAGAATATAAGCCGAGAGACGTCAAAAAAGGAACCACTCTTTTCAACCAAGATTCTTTTTTATTTGCTGGCTTTCTGTTTGATCTGTTTTGGTTACATCTTTAGTTTTAAGTGGGAATTTGAAGATGGATTAATTTTGCAACGGTGACAAGTTTATTTACAGAGTTCATGGAATCCCATATCAACATATATGTAAATTAAATATGTCTAATAAAACAGCACCACCATAGTAAGAAATTGAAGTAAATTAGAACAAATACATGGCATTTTATGTTTAACATAAAAACACTGTTTTTCCTTAACAATGAATTGTAATATACAGAACGATACTTTGAACTATCTTAGCAGGACATTGAATAGCCTGAAATGTCTCATGGTTGCCATAAAGACCTTAAGAATTAAATTCTACCTTTGTAGATATGGCACCATTTGTGAACGTGTTGATGTGTACTCAGTTCATATTTTGGTCTTCAGCATTTGTCAGGAAGTCATACTGGTGGACCTCTCTTACGAGGATATGGACAATGTGGGGAACGCAGACAAATCATCAGACATGTTTGTAGAAATGTGCACAATTAAGGGTTGAAGTGATATTGAACTGTGTTAACCTGCCTACTATTTGGCTCAGATCTATAGTGATCACAGCTAGGCTCCAATATGATTTTCTGAAAGGTTTGTGACACTGGTTGATTCATTATACCAACATTATGTTGAACATTTGTCTGTTGTCTGAAGTAGATTTGATTTCATAGACATTACACTGTTTCTGTCTTCAGGCAGGCGGTTGTCTTTATATTAACAGATTATTTATTTTAAGATTAGTTGCAAAGGTTGGGATTGAACTTGGACTTTTGAATACTAAGCTAATATGTAAACTGCTGGGGTGAGCTGGTTAGCATACAAGTCTAGTATTGAGAAGGTCCAGCATTCAGTCCCAACCATCAAAACTAGCCTTAAAATAAAAAATACAACAAAGTACATTAATACTGGAGTACAACCAACTTAAAAATATTGTTTTTATTAAATCAAATATGTATGAGATTTGAGGTTCTCAGAGCAGTGAATGTGGAGATCACTGTCTTCTGTAATCTGATGCTATGTAGTCTGGTAGAAGTTTACCATAATTTCAGTTTAACATACTCCCTCTCTCTCCATGGTAGAAGAGTCTCCTGAAGATGGAGCAGCATGTTTTTCTGAAACTTCATTAAACTTCTATGAGACTACATGGTGTCACATCCCAGAAACCAGTAATCTTCAGATCAAATCTAACTAAGACAGTGCACTTTTCAAACATAAGTGCTAGTAAATTATATTCGGATTTTCAAGGAATTTCAGATTCACCATCCTTATTCCTATAATTTTATTACTCTTATGAGACCATGGTGACTTCTAGAAAAAGAATCCTTTAGTAACATCAGTATTTATTGATCCAGAATGATATTCTGTTTGCATACAAAATTTCACAATTCCTAACATGATGTATTGACTCATCCTAGATTCTCAAGCACTGGAGTTGCAGGGATGGCAGTGAATAACCTGGACCACTGATTTTCTTCGTTTTTGTGTCAAACACTGTTTTAATTTAACAAAAGACAGTTGTTTTCAGAAATTATTGTAAGGAACCACATGTTTCTCCTATATCCATTATATATCATTCCTGACATTTTAGCAGTTTGACAGCATATAAACTTTCGTTTTGTTAGGTCTGTCCTCCCCTGCCATCTTGCAATGTCAGTAAGGAGGTATTACAAGATACTGATATAAAGATGGGGAAAAGGACAAGTACGAGAAAATAGAATATTGTATTTTAAAACATTTGCAAGGTCTTGTTTCAAATGTACAGCTGTAGTTACCAGTTCACTTTAAAATTATGAATCTTGCATCATGTTAACGTTCCTAAGGGCAAGAAAAGTCCAAACTGAAAGAGTTATATAACATGTGAAGTTTGTTGGGGTAACTCCAGGAGATGATGGTGAGTTCATAGCATTTCTATGTGGTATATTTTAATTATATGATCATCTGTTTCTTCATTGTCAACAATGATTTATCTTCATGCCAGTTCACTGAGATACTGAACAGAGTGAATATGTAACATAGGAAGCCTTAAATATGAGAGAGCCTTTATAGGTTTTAGCTGAAACAGTGGTTATACAGAATGTTTCAAAATAATTTAACATAAAACTTTACTTTTATACCTTGTATATAGTTGTAAAATATTGCAGCGCTGTAATAATTATAATAATTACAAGTATATGAAACCGAGACAGGTATTTTGTTATTGCTGTTTATTTTCTCTCATCACCCTGTGATGAATTTGTATATACTTTCAAATTGTGGTTGTTGTTAAGTTGGAAACTCTTTGACTGATATGTCACATGTTCCAGTTGATGATGGATTTAAATCATTCTTCCCACTATCTTCAGTGCATAAACACTCTGACATTGCTAATATATTCCAGTTTATAGGCTCTAAATAGTATTTCAGTTAAGCTTCAGTTTCTAAAATGGGAAATAAAATTTGCCTCAGACATCCTTTATGTGTTTTCAGCAAGATACCTCATGCATGCTTTCGGTTTTCACATGGTTTGGTCAAGTTATCATGTTCTGTTGAACTGTGTGATCAAACTTATATATCATCATGAAACAACATGATACTTATGCTTCCATTGGTTTGATAACAACTGATCAGCAGTAGGAAAAGGTAAAAAAGTCTACCATTTACTGTTCTAGTAATTGGGCAAACTGTCATTTTTTTTTTGGCAAACATCCAAAGAATGAATTAATAAAACATCATGTTCCACGTCTTATAATGGTTGTAATGGTGATTTGATCACAGCTTAACAACATAAGCAAAACAAAATATGTCCTGGCACTGTAATATTATGAGACCAATGTTGGCTTTGTATGAGATGTGTGGTTCTCAGAGCACTGAATATTAAGATTGCAGGCTGCTGGGACATGACAGTCTAGTTTGATAGATGGCCACCAGTGTTTTGGAGGAATCTCCTACTTACATCTTCAAGGTAAAGAACCTCTTCTACACTGTAGAAGTAGTCATCCTCTCAAATACTGGTACTTATCTACCAAACTATACCACCTCACATTCCAGTAGACCATACATAATCTTAATATTGGCTTGGTAGTTCCCCAGTATGCATATCAAAATTGTAATAAATTTGAAAGTAAATAAAATAACTTAAAGAATATCATCTTCTGGGATATAACGTCGTGTAGTACGTTGAAAGTCGACCAACGTTTTGGAGAACATATCACCTCCATCTTTAGGGTCAAATAATAAGCCAAGCAAGAAGCCGGCGTAAAAACAGGTGCTTCTTCATCGACCCTAAAGGAGAAAGTGATATGTTCCTCTGAAATGTCAGTTAACTTTAAACGGACTACATGATGTTATATCCTAAGCGATAATGCTCTTCATAACCATTGCTGTGAGGACCTCAGATCCTATATAAAATATCAGTGTGAAGAATTTCAGGTAATAAATGATAGATGCAGAGTATGGTTGTAGCACTTTATAATGTACTAGGCATCTGCTTTTCTGACAAGTTTTGCCTCATCTGCCATGATAACAGTTGTGTTGCTGTATCACTACAAACTGTAACTGTCTTCATTCAAGTGGCCTCTTTATATTCATTACATGTTTAAAACAAGTCTCTCTCTCTCTCATATAAAATGGCGAACAAATTTGATATCAGACATGTATGTCCATATATGTGTGTACACAGTGAACTCTTAAGATTTCTTTGGAGAGCAGTTCTGAAATTGAACACAAAATGCAAGAAAACCCTAAACTGGGAAATATTAAACAGGAGTTCCACTGTGTGTTTGTATATATAGATATATGAGAAAAATTAATTAAAAATTGTTACACAATTTCATCACAACTTCTTTGGAGTTTTGTTCTCTAGAATTTAATTTATAATGCTTGATTTTACTTGTAATACATGAAGTGTTTATATGATTGTTGGAATTGTGTTTCTGTGTGTGACATACAGCAAAGAAAGGAGAGTTGTATGTCAATTATGGTTTAATTTTAACACCATAGTATCTTAATATCTTTCATATTAGAAGGCTGATTGATCTATGACTAAGTGCAGTTATGTGATGATGTGAAACCTTCCATCAAACCCCCTCTAAACCATACTGCCTCTGTTGGTTGCTGGAGTGGGAAGTGCCAGCATTAGTGGAGGCATGTTGAAGTTCTTAAATCCCAGTTTGCGGAGAAAAAAATAATTCAGCTTACAGTTCATCTGTTTTGTCCACACTACAGACAAGATAGCTTGTTTGAAAGCTGTGGCCCTTCTGGTCTGCATTTATTTAATTCTTTTAACTGATAAAGAAAGAAAAATGTCTCACCATTTCTCAACAGTGACAGCTGTCTATGGCATTTTAAGAATAGAAATTATCTGCTAATAAAGTAAGGCTTCTTCAAATAAAATTAAATGCAGAAAGTTAGAGCAAAACAGGAAACCTTGCTTCTGTGCCTGTTTATGCCCATATCACTGTACAGTGGCTTTAGTTCATGCACATAAAAATTAATTCTTGTGGCCTTCAACGTTTGTAACCAAATTAGAAATTGGTACACATAAGCAGTAATTTTATTTTTTCTTAGCAAGTTGGGTTACTGTTAATACGAAATGTATTCTTAATTAAGAACTTTAATATTATCAACAAGAAATACCGTGCATACATTTTAGGGCTGTCCCATGTTTTCAGCAGTGTGAAGAATGCAGACTCCTAACTCTGGAGGACTGATATTCATTTATTTGTGAATTGAACAGTTTCGGTGATACAAAGTGACAATTCTATTTAACAAATAATAAAGATGTTGGTAAGTTAAATCTGTTATTTTCTTAAATCTGCATTAAGTGTCACTAGTGTTATTCGCAACTCTGAAGTTAATACTGCTGTTATTGAAGTAGGGAATTAAAAAGTCAGGATGATGGGGTATCCTCCATTAGAATGTGTCCCCACCAGAGTTAATGGAAATCTTTCCAAAGCCCTGTGTATCCTGTTTCTGAAGAAAGGAAGCTAAAGGTATTTTGTATGCCCAGATAGTTTTGTTCATTTCACTACTTATTCTTCTACCTCTATTCCTGTTGCTTCCACTTGGAGCATAGGGCATCTGTGAAATGCTCATTTCACATCACTTTCTTTATCTAAGACAGCCAGCAGGACTCTTTGGATGGGGGATCAGCCCATCGCAAGGCCAGTACCTAACACAAACACAGAATAAACACAAAGACATTTCATGCTCACTGCTTAGTAAAAAACACTTCAGTTGGGAAGTTTACCTAATCCTCACCCTGCTGTCAAAATTTTGACATCAGTACAATATTTCATTCCTTGCATACTGTTTATTCTTTCATTTAAACCTCAATTTGCATATAACATCAAGTATTTGCATCTTTTTCCCATGGAATTTCTTGCAGCAAAAAGACAGTGTTGCAGTATTGTATACTTGATGGGTCAGTCAGTTATATGCATAATGTATGTTGCTTTTCTGCTTTACACAACAACTCAACAAAATGGGTAACTGATATAATATAGATTTTGTATTCTTGACACAAAAATTTCAGAGCAGATTCATAATGTCACGTGTAGGGGTGATTATAGATGGGGTATGGATTGGTGAATAGATTTTTTTGACAACTTACAGGTCATAACTAAAAATAACTATAACACCATCGCTGATTTCCACACTTTACAAATCACTACACACTAAGTCTTGTCCAGCCTGCAGTGTCTTCACTAGATGTTCTCTGGTAATGGATTTTAACAGTGGAGATGCTGCCTCTGGTTCAAGTCCTTTCTTCACAGCCTCCAGTACAGAACTGCCTAACTGTACCCAGCACAGAGTGTATTTTGATACACCATATATATGGCACTCAAATTAATGACAGGTAGTTCTGCAATTCCTAAAAGTAGGAAAGAAACTTGTCTTCCATTCAGGTAAATATGACATCAACCAATTTTTTACGTCAGACCCTGAAGCACAAGGCAAAAGCAGTTGCCAGAAAATTCTGAGACTGAAAAATGAAAGTTTGAATCAAGATTGAGAATATTTTTTCTCTGTATGATCTCAGACCTTTAGCCTGTTTAGTACTAGAGGGAAGTGTGTGATCAACTTCATATTTTGGATGCTTTATCCCCAGAGAGAGAGAGACTCCAGTATGAACTGGATATAGGCTGGGTTGATCTTGGAACCAATCTGGACATGGTGGCAAAGACAAAAATCCGACCTCTGCTGGAAATCACACCCTGATCATCCAGATCTTAGCCTATCATTTTATTGTCTGAGCTGTCCTAGCTCCTATGATATAAACAGTGGCATCATCCCTTTATCCTGTGCTCTGCTGTGGTACTCATGTAAAGTAACATTTACTAATATAACATTTACAGCTTCCAGTAATATACCTTATGAATTATTTTATGATCAGCACACTTCTATCAAGCTGCTGTATACAGTTATCTAAGCCAGATTTTAATATTATGCACTATGCTACAAGCAAGAAGGTCACGGGTTCAAGTCCCGATGAGGTAGTTTTTCTTTCCTTTTATTTTCTCCCCCCCCCCAAGTTTACCTAATCCTTCCAGCCCCACTATGGCCCTGAGGTAAACTCAGCTGGTAACAGAAATGAATACCAGGAATCTTCCTGGGGTTAAAAAGTGGCCAGCGTGTAAGGCTGAAAACCTTACTGCCATCTCTAAGTCGACTGTCTAGACAAAATGAGTGAGCCTCAATGTCTCACAACCCCATGGGCCTTCACAGCCTGTTACAGGGATGGCTTTACCTTTTTTCCTCTTCCATCCATGCTTGTCTCCACAAAGTGGCCAGTTCCATCTTTGGAGTTCCAAATTCTCAGCTTCAAACTCTCTGATATTAAATTAACCGAAACTGCATTTCCTCAATAATTTTTAATAATGGTTACTAATGCTAGATTAAAAAGTGCACACCAAAGTAGACAGGTACTCTTCTAGTTTAAAAAAAACACATTTCATCAATCTTAACGCTCAATTTAATCATGAAAAACATACAATATAGATCACTGAAACCCAACAGCAGTCTTTCACTGACATCTCCCTTCACCACATTTAACAAAACCATTTATATTTAGTTCCAGTGAAAATATTTCACCTCTTCAGTAGTACTGTGCACTCCTACTGCTCAGCCTTCACATCACCACCTTGTATTGTACTGCCTCATTAAACAGACGTGGTACAATTCTTGTGCTTGAACACCCCACCATGAACACACGTCAGGGAGTGGAACTGGCAGACACATTCTTAACTTTGGCACTAGATAGAGGTGAGTGGTCTGCTTTACACCCTGCTTGCTTTACCTTGAGGAAAGTCTGGTTGCTACCCAGAGCCAATCTGGACATAGTGATAAAAATATCCAATCCCTTCCAGGGATCAAACCACAGTCATCTGACCTGTAGACCTTCACTTTACTGAATGAGCTGGCCCAGTTCTCAAACAGTAAATGACCTAATTCATTTTTAAGAAATAGGTTTCCCATGAAACACACTATATTTTTGTTGAGAAATCATTTTATGAATACAAGAATTCAGTCACTGTTTAAATATCATGTTTTCTTGGGGGGGGGCACATTTTTATTCTGAGAAGAAAGGTCCTCAGTCTCTGACCAAAGGCATTTGCCACTGTTGGATGCTCTTTAGATCAAATTGTTACATTAACTGGAGTGTAATAACTGAATTTTAACTTTACAAAGAGTGGGTCCATCTGAAGTGTTTAATGAAGGACACTGCTGATAAGCTTTTGAAGGGAAAACAAGGAGCAACCCTTCTCAATGAATGTTTCATTTCTCTGTTACTTCAGCTACAAGAGGAAGAACTGTTCTGATGTCACCTCAGCAGAAAACCAGAAGTATGTGCAGCTCACTTGCATAAACAAGATACAGACATTCAGACTCTTCCTGATGTGAATGACACCAAACAGCACAGACCAACTAAATGTAGTAACACATTCATCAGTCACATCCAAGAGAGCAGTGAGTGACAAAGGCCTTTCGTATCCTTATGTTATAGGAGTAAACTGCATAAAGAGGATTAGAGAAACAACTCTTCTAGGGCAAAGTCCTGTGGGTAGAAAAGAAAATGCCTCTTAGATGAAGAGTAATTATAAATAACATAGTTTTCCAACAGTGAGTCACTGTTCATCCTGAACAATAAACTACCTAACTTGATGACAGACTTAACAGCAAAATTCTGTATGTTTAAATCTAGATATTAAGGTCAGTTATCCATGTTTCTGTAATTTTTAATATTAATGTTCATCTTCATTTTAGGTCAACCTCAAACTGACTGCTGCTGTGTATGTGAGGAGTTGAATTTTAAAGTTAAAAGCCATCACCTGAATGATGCAAACTAGTTCATTTCCAGGAAAAGTTCACATCTGTTCCAAACTAAGAAATGAATGATACACCACAAAATGTCATGCTCAAGAAACTTACCATGAATACACAAAAATACTACTAAGATGTGTACCATGGAGGTAGGCTACAGTGAATCAAATTGAGATATATTTCTGTATCCTTGCCTACATTCAAAATGACATTTTCTCAAAAGCTGATGAACTTCATCTGTATTCCATTAATTTTGGAGATCAAAACAAAAATTATGCATATGCATGAATGCTTCTGGCTATAACGTATCGGCCATTTAAAAAGCATTCAATATTTCTTCACCCATAAAGGTCACTCCTTCCCTCTGAGAGGAATTTTATTATCGTCAATCCTTAACAACAGTTTCTGCAGTGTCCATAATACTGCCAAATAACAGTAGAGATCAGCACACCAGTAAGTTTATGGTAAAAGTAGTATACATAGAGGACACTAATCTTACGAATTGTGGACAGCTTACTACAAGAGAACATGTTTATCACAAGAATGATCAAAGAGGGAAGTTCTGACAGAAAAATCAGGGTTTTTCAATTAGCAGTCTTATATGTATTTGTGAATCTTCCTGGATGCACTGACAGCATCATACAGAATATGTTCAGATTATAAAAGCAGACCAGTGGAATGAACTGCATGTCCTCCTCCTAATTCAGTTTATCATATATAAAATGTTACAAAATATATTAACTTTTAAAGGACTTTTACAATAAAATATTACCACATCAAAAGACTGATGAATGGCATCTGAAGACCAAGCCACTTCTGGTCCAAATTTCATTTTATTTCACTTACTGGCAAATAATTGTGTGGATTCATACAAATAAAGGAGTTTTCCTATGTAGTACAGTTGCAATAATCAGCCAGTACTGAAGCAGCCTGCAGACACAAAGTTAAGTGAATGTTATGGCTAATGCACCCAGTCATGTCCTTTCTGACCTCCATCCAACTTTGCAATGGTGAAAGTCAGATTTCCCAGGCAGGAGCACTTATGGGGTGGGCTCCACTGTCCATAATGGTAAGATGATGACTTAACATGAACTCTGAGTCACAATGACAGCTTGGTATTCCTCAGTTGCACAAAACGGTATCTTTATCAGAGATGCAGATATGGGTATCATGTCTGCCAAAATCTGTTCTTGATCTGACCAGTCTTAAAGCCAAGATACTGAGCACTGATGTCCCAGCATTTTATCCCTAGATCACATGCCCCCCCCCCATAAGCCAATCTAATATCGCCTATACACCTCAACATACTTGCCTACTCTTCCATCAGGATGAAAGGTGTGAAATAATGAGGTTTCTAATTTATAATTATACTGATTCAAGAAATTATTTATCTTGGGATAAAGACTATCATAAATTACAATATGTGAGACAGTATCATTACTTGAATAATTCTGAAGAAGCCACTTTTCAGGGTCCGCATAAAATATGTCTGCCTCATCTTTGTAATTTGGACTGCCTGTAAAATCAGGTTCACATGTTAGGAACCTAACTTGTATTCTCATATGCAAGTGACTATACAGTGGAGTTGAGTGACATGGCATGAGAAGCAACACATTAGTGTACCTGGGATTCTTATCTGTCAGCACCTTCATCAAATCCAATGTTCCTCGCTGGTGTACCAATCCAAAATATCCCAGCAATGCAACATTTACAATTACAATACCCACAGTCACAATCCTGAGCACTGATCTGGATGCCTTACAACTCCAGTATGACAACCAACTGCTTTCTACATACACAATCATTGGCAACAGTGGCAATAAGAATCTAAATTCTTTATGAGGCACAAGACTGAGACTTGTTACAGTCCATATTATAATAAGCACAAGAACCTTTTCTATGGAGCCTTGGTTCTGTGTGAGTGCCCGGAATGCGCCAAGAATAAATGGGACCAGATGACATCCCAGGACCACTGGAATTCCTACAGTTATGTACCAGTAAAATGGATGTGTGCCATAAAAGGTGTTGATACCATCCATAACATTAGCTTCTAAGAAACGCAAGGGTGTGAAAATTATTTTTCCATAAAAATATGTATCCAACACAGTACCAGCAGCAGCCACTATTAATCCAATAAGTATATAGTTCTTTACAACTCCTGCCATCTTGTGATATGATATTACAATGTGGTAAATGCACAGTGGAAGCCATATTATTATTGTTGTGGGTCTCACCATGCATGCAACTGCAACAAACCACAAGAACACTGATGAATTCTTGTATATTCTACTTTGATTCCAAGGAAATAAACTCACAGCAAATGTATTAAGTACAGCTTCAAAAGCATTAATAACAGTTCTTGATCCACAATACAACCAAAACCAATTGGTGATTAAAGCAAATGATGCCCATGAACCACGTCCACTGTTCTGACTGCGATACCATCTCAAGAAACAGTAGTCTCCTATGGCAGACAGTGAAGCTTGTAATATCCGAGGTCCATATACCACAGCAGTAACAGTATCTAAGTGAAAATACTTTAGTACAATAAAAATTGTAGCCAGAAATGCAGGATAGATATAACTTCTAATACCTTGGGCCCATTCCCAAGTTAGATGTCCATAGCCAAACACCATCCTATGAGCTACTTCTACTGTCTGCCAATACTCATCTGGCACAAACCACGTCTGAACAATATATACCATACACAGTCGTATCAAGAAGAAAAATAATAATACCATCCAAGGATTCATGACGCATTTGTCTTTTGTCTTTTTCCAAACTAACAGCTATATAATTCCATATACTTCACAAATCTCTAATGCTAATGATATTATGACCTACACATTCCTTTGTAACACAGATCAGCAATATTCTTCAGTAATACTTATTTTCATTTAAATAAGAAACTATACTTGACAATAGGGTTAAAAACTGTAAGTTACATCAGTATTCATTTATATATCAGACTTGTTCTGTGACAGCTTGGAACTGTGCAACAATACAAAGCATGATTTCATTTTCCAGAAAACACTTTCATGTCCACCATCTTTTCTTCTTCCTGATGCCTGGAAAAGTATACATGCACTTTCCGTTTCATTACTTTAAACATTCTCGCCTAAGTACGTCCACATTCGAACACGCTCCAACTAACTCCAATCAACCTATTGACAAATAACATCTTAGAATTAGCATTATAAGCCTGTCAGGTAACTGAACTGTTTAGCTATAAATAATAAATTATTTCAGGTCGTGGGTGGAAAGAATTTAAAGGAAGGTAACTGGAATGACTGGCAGGCATGAAGTATTAGAATGGCAGCTTATGAAAAGGAAAACCCCAAGGAGAACAGCAAGACAAATGAATCTGATGTAAAATATTGTGGCATGTAGACCCATCGTGTGGCAATGCCCACAAGATAAGCAAATATACAGCAGCCATTACTGAGTAATGGCTTTGCAAACAAGCATCTTTCCATGGCAACAATTGGATATAGAAAACAGGAACAGTGTTTTCTGTGTGGTCCGTGCCAAGATGTTATAAGTAGGACAGTTAGTGAAGAGAGTTGGTTGGTGGGTGACCAAGTTAGTTAGTCAGTGAACTGCTGAAGTTCAGTCATCAGCTGCTGCTGTGAGAAGCTAGTAGCTGAGGCCTGGAATAGTTCAGGATCCAGAGGAAGGAGAATGTCTGCTGTTGAAGCCGTTACTGAGCACTTCTTGTGAAGATGTGACTGCAGACACTCTGTGCATGTACGAGTATGTGTGCACATATGTGAAATGTAGTGTAGTCACGTACTATATCAGAGACTCCACATTATAACCAGGAATCCCTTAATGCAAACCTGAGTTGCTGTCTTCAACTTCCAATTGTACAGCTACTTGCAGCTGTCTTCGCACTTCAAACGTCTCCTGTAGCATGTTTATCAAACATGGCATTCAATATGAGGGCTCTCACAGGCTCAACCTCCCCAGCACTTGACTCTTTTTCTTCTCTGATGAAGTCTTTCACCAGAGCTATAAGTCCTTTGTTGCTCAGGTCTTCCCAATGTGATTCCAGTAATTCATCACATTTTCTTTGTCCACCTTCTAAAATTAAATGGCCATGTCAAAAACACTTTTCTCCATCATTAAATCTCTGATGTCGCAATCTCAGGCTAGAGTTTCTTCTGCACTCCACTCATACAGCATGGAGTTCATTCCAGGCATCAAGAATGATATCAGCCACCATTTTGATGTTTCCCTGCACCAGAATTCTTTGCAGCTCAGCTTATCATCTGAATCACAATTCCCATTGAGACTGAAGGAGGTCTGATGCAAGTAATGGATTTTAAAATTTGCTATAACCTCTCTATCTGTCAGTTGATGGAGCAATGTGGCATTGGGGTGGTGATGAAACAACATCTTAACAGTTTCACTGAGACCAGAAACATTTGGTGAGCGACCAGGAGCGTTTCCCAGAATGACAAGAATTCTGAAGGAAATCTCCTTTTCACAAGAGGCCATGAATTCCTCTTGCAGCACCCTTCCTAAAACAGTCAGCATGCAACCCCTTATTTGCCCACCAAACAACAGGCAAGTTTGTCTTTATATATCCTTTCAGTGCCCATGGGTTGTGTGATACACAATGACATGCTTTAATTTGTGTCTACAAGCATTTTCTCAGAACATCAACAGTCTTAGGCAGCTTTAAACCCAGGTCTCGTTTTTGCTTTGATGGAAATGAAAGTGCAACTGGGCATACACTTCCAGGACTGACCTAGTCTATCAAGGTTGAACATCTGCCTCAGTATGTGACTTCTCTCCACAATTGCTGCTTTGACGAAAACATCAAATTCTTTAGCAGCAAACTGGTCTGCAGCTGCGGTCTCATCAGTCAGCACAGACACTGTTGAATGTATGATTATATTTACTTACTTCTAAGTCGCCTCCCAGCCTTTTGACATCGTCCATTATTTTACGTTTGTACCTATGGAATTTTTATTATATACTAATTTTTCAATTTTATGAATTGTATATTTTAGACTGCTATCTAATTGTATATATTATGATTTAGTTTTTACAACATGATTGTGACAATGATAACTATTTACCTGCATCAGTTATTACAGTACATATAGTAATCTGACATGTTCTACATCCTAGGCACATTGTGACCAGAGAGGATTCATGAAATTTTAAAATAAATGAATGAATGAATGAATGAAGAATGAAAAATCCGTTCACCTGCGTACACACAAAGAACATAACCTCCTAACCTGTTACGAATTCGGTCTTCCCTTGCTATTAAAAGAGTTTTCTATCGAACTTAATTCAAGATTTTCTTATCTCACAATGAATGATAACCGTGAAAGACCTGGTATAATTTCACTTACGAAAAGCAAAATTAACACCATTCAACCGCTGATCTCACCTCGAGATGTTGTGATAAGAATTACGAAAACTGAAGTTCGTACTAAGTCGGACATAATCGGAGAAGTATCGTTCACTCTAAAAACATTAATCTTGCTTCTAGTTATTAGGGCAGGCATTTGTAATCAGTGTACATCGGTAGGGTCGTTAACTTAAAACGAATATTTTAGTGCATATATTATGCTCTTGATTTTACCTAGTTATATTTCAGTTGTTTAGTATATATATAAATAAATAAATATTGGTTCCACACCCCTTTTTTTTTCATTTTAATTGTATTGTTGTGTGCATCTCGTTTCCTCGGGAACGTGTTACCGACCTGTTGCTCAGAAACGTGCTTTCGTTTTTTCCATCTATTGTATAGCAAAGGCTGTATTAATTATTTGTTTCGAGGTGTTTGCCTAGCAACGGGTCTATACGTCACCGTATTTATTGGATAGGAAATTAATTGAGACGATCAGAGAACCCGTGCGGAGGCGGGAGTCGAATACCTCCACCGTGACCCTGCGAGTCGTAGAAGGCGACGAAAAGGGAAGTCTCAAATCTGAGACAGTAAAATATGGTCACGAGTCCCAAGAGACTCGGACCCGAGAAAGACTGCGCTGGCAAAGGCTAGCAGCATATACAAAAGACAGACCCGTCCTCTCGTCAGAGAGGGCAACCCACAAAAACAAGACCTTAACTGTCAAGCAGTAATAAATATCTGGTCATACGCCCCAGATGGGGCTTGACACCAAGACCTACCGACTGACTGACGGTCAGTCGTAATGTGACTTTGACTTATGAAGATAGTTCTTCACTGAACCACTGAACCAACCGGAGCTCCTCGGCCAAAAGACCGGAATACACCACAAATTATTAGGGTATAAAGGGCCGTCCACACACTCCTTCTGTTACGTCATGTCCCCTCAAATCTAGTTTTCATAGTTCAGTTGGAGCGTGTGAACTATGAAACTATGATTTGCGCAATCCAAAGAGACGGCTTCGGTGAACTAAAGTGTTGCTACACAGCAACAGTGGCTCGTAAGCATTTCAGGTAGACTGCGGACCACTCGCACCTTCTCGAACTTAAATTTCCAATTGTGTCGGTATCAATATCAATACTGACACAGTATGAAGTATTATTTATAATATACGTAGTTCTTTTCAGAATGTTTGTTTTTTTTTAGTGGGGTGGGACTAAGTCCCTTGTACTGCGGCCACTTCTGGCCTATTGTACCAGCCCTAGATGATAGGTGAGGGTGATTGTGGAGCAATTGGTGGAATGAAGATTGGCAGGGGAAACCGAAGTACTCGGAGAAAACCTGCTCCAGCGCCACTTTGTTCACCACAAATCCCACTTGACCAGACCCGGGATCGAACCCGGGCCACCGCGGTGGGAAGCCAGCGACTAACCGCTTGAGCTATGGCGCGGCCATGTTTGATTTAAGTCAATAGATGATTGAAAACGAAATTCTGACTGGGGTTATATATACATACATAAAATCAGCGACGATTCTTGTCTTGTAGGCTGATCTAGTATAATATCTAGTATAAAGTAAAATAATTTGGCGGCACGATTAATTATAACTATTTTAACGAAAGATATTCATATACACTCAGAAGTTTAAATTCAGGGATGCGGAAGCGCCATTTGACTTTTATTGAGAATGACTTCATTAACCATTTGGTTACCGAAGTCATTCTCAATAGAAGTCAAATGCATTTTATTCTCCATTCTCAATCTTCCACGTGGCCTTTTTCCAAGAGGTTTCCCAACCGATATTCTGAATGCCTTCTCCCGCCTCGCAGCCATATGTCCAGCCCATTAAAGCTTTACATTTTTTTAACTCATAACTACAAAATGTTAAAATTCAATGCTTCTAAATACTGTTGGTAAGGAGTTCCGTGTTTTAGTTGCAACTTCTGATCGATATTTTTGTTGCTGCTTGTTAAATGTCTGCAATTATAAAACAAAGGAGAAGTATTTTAATATTTATGGTATGATGTTATTTGATATTTGTAACTCATAATAGAAGGATACTTATAGAACGGCAAGGTAATCTAAATAATTTCATTATTTATAGTCAACTTGTTTACTACGGATGGCTTGTCATTCCGAGGCTAAAATATTGATTACGTGAAAATATCTTACTCAAAGCACAGTATGAGAATCAGCCATAGTCAGTTGAAGATTTAAGCAAGAGTGAACAAATTCGCCCTCATCACAGCAAAGTGCAGTAACAGTTAAGTGCATCTAAGGGCTGGAACATACAGCGACATCGGTCGTATGGAAAATGTCGTACGACCTCCTTTTCACACTAGAGCGACCAAATACATCTCTTTGCTCTCCGACTGTCGTACGGTAGATGTCGCATGTCGTCACGTATGAAAACTAAGACTACACTTTATATTCTACTATTTGATGCGACATGAACCGTACGGACGTCGTACGACCGATGTCTCTGTGTGTGTTCCAGCCCTAACAAGGAGGTAGGTAAGGCGTTTCAAGCCAAGTAGATATCCGTAAGATGGATGGGTCATACCAGAAGTAGAATAAGGCTTTCGACGTCATTGTTGGTACATACGTTTTACTTTATTCTACAAAAAAAAACAGCCCTTTCATATAAATGTTTCGGGATATATAATATGAATTTGCAAGATAACTATAACATTTATTACATTTTTTTTTTCTCTCAGGAGGATATTCAGCGGAATACATTAACATTTGAGGCCAACAGGCAGACTTTCGTTTAATGTGATCATTAAAGGAATCAAAGTGAATTGAACTTACAGATTTTATTTATACAATATTTTCATCAGCATCTGTCGTTGAAAATACATGCCTGTGCCCAATTTTTTTTAGGGCCTGAAGTATTAACATTCAAAATAAACTAAACTAGATAAAATTCACAAATAAAATCACCTAACTTAATCAAGATCAGTCATAGAGTTTAGACGTTTTTACTTGCCAGAGGACGGAAGGGGTCAATAAAATGAATACGCGTTCTGCGATTTTGTTTTTCTTATACATATTTTATTTGTGAGTTTTCACCTCTGTCTTACTGTTTCATCATTGCAGATTCAAACCTATTGCTAAAACATCTTCTTTCAAAACATCTCGGACCCATGAGATATGTCTTATTCACTACATGAGTATTGTAGACGACGGATGTACATCTATGAATTTGAAACGATATATCGCCCTGACTTCGTAGCTTTTGGTTCTCTACGGAAGATTTGAATGTAACAGTTAGGTTAGGTAACAAGTCATAATTTAAAGAACATTAAAGAACTGATTTAATGTATTTCGTTTTCATTTGTACATTAATTATGTTAACTGTAGTTTTTTATGAACTCAAAAACAATACTTGAAATCGGATAAATTACAAAATAAATACACAGAACAGAATACCCTTCAGAACCACATAGATGCAAATTTCCGTTCTGAACATGAATAAGACATAAATGAACAATTATAATTAAGATCATTGGTAATAATTAAAAAAGAACAAGAACACAATAAAATTATCAATGAAGATGTAGTGTAACATTTTAAGCTTTTCGATATCTTTTAATTCATATGCCTTAAACCAGAACTACATAAGAAGAGTTAAAACATCTTGTTTCATACGTAAAACTTGTAAGATTTGAGTTTTCCTCGACGGTGACTATGAAGAAAACTGCTTTCTTCAATATAAAACTTGATTGGCAACAGATCATCAACTCCCCGAAATGATTTGGAAGATAATCCGAAAAGAGATTCATATCATACTCGTATGTTTCATGAGCTCTAGCTTCTACAGGTGCCAGGCTCAAACCTGGGGAACGTTTTATTTTTGCGGTTTTAGCTTCTGCTTTGGTAAGAACTCTGGAAATTGCTTTACCAGAGATGCAAACAAACTCCAACCCAACATTGTGACGCACAAGTACTAGATGCGAGAGAAGGACTTACCAACACCGAACATACTGTTCATCAGGAATATTTCTTCTTCGCTGATAGAGTATATTCACTCAGCATTAAAATACACACCCGTAATTAATACATACACGTCAACGCACTAGATATCGATGTATCGCCCGCATGGAAGAAAGAATGAAGAATTATGACAGAAGAAAATTAAAAAAGAACAAGAGAAAGCACGAAAGAACAGTAAAGTAAGAATAGAAAGAGGTACACTGAAAGTGGGGAATTGAAGATGTAAAATAAGCCTAAATAATGAAGAAATGGGATAAAAAACAAGAGACAGAGGCATAAAAAATAGAGAAATCAAATCAATTTGGAAAAGGATGAAACAAAATAAGCAATAAAAATTAAAGAAAATGAAAGATAAATCCTGCCTGTTTTTCATTATAATTTCGGAAGATTCTACATATTTCTACCTAACTGACCATACGCCCAATCCCCAGGATCCATTACCTTCTCTCTCATCCTTGCAGTTTCAACAGTGTTGTCAATATTTCTGCTCAGGTTACTACCCCCTAAACCTGGGGTTTCCCCTTTCCATTACAAGAATAG